GTAGAGAGCTGGATCAGAAGAAGAGCAGCCAGAACCTGAACTGGCGCTCATATGGGATGCTGGCAGTGCAGGTAGAGGCTTAACCTGCTATGCCACAGCACCGGCCCCTGTAGGTTCATTCTATATCCAATCATATTTTTGTCTTTTCTATTTCTTTTAATTAAAAAAATACACCCAAAATGGTAATTTATGAGGGAAGGTAGCAATTGTTTGTTGACTGTTGGTTTTGAATATTCAGGTTAAGCTTAGACGTCATATATATTATATAACTGTAATTATAAAGAATTTCTCAATGAAGACTACTTTTAGTGCTATATTGGTTGCTAAATTGATGAGCATTATATTTAAAAAGCATGAGATATGACAGTTCTTTGCATTTTTTTTTAAAAAAAGGTTATTTACTGTTTATTTTAAAGACAAGAGTCACAAACAGGCTGGGGAGAGATTTTCTATCTGCTGGTTTATTCTTCAAATGCCCACAACACCCAGGATTGGGCCAGGCCAAAGCTAGGAGCCTGGACTCTATTTGATTACTCCAAGCCAAGTACTTAGGCTACCGTCTTTTGCCTTCTTGGATGCACAGCAGAAAGCTGGATTGGAAGCAGAGGTGCCAGGACTGGAACTGGCACACAAATATGGGATGTGGGTGTCCCAAATGGCAGCTTAACTCACTGCACCATAACACCTGCCTCAGTTCTTTGCATTTTTTTGAAAAAAAAAAAAAAACCCTCTTTTATTATATTTGGTCCTACTTTATATTTGATTTTTAATAAATTTCTATTTGTTTCATTTTTTCACAGCAAACTGAAAAGATGTGTATGCTTTGTGGCCAGAAATGGAGTGTTTTACATTTGTACTATTTCTTTAACATTGAATCATGCCTAGTACATGTGTTTTATCCACCAGCTCTTTTCTGTGAATAAGAGCAGTGTGCAACTTATTGTCATACTGTCATTGATTTGCAAAGACTTTTGCTGCACAAATAAAGGATTTCCTTTTAGAATTGATTCTATGTCTGATTTCCCAGTCTTTATCATCATTTACAAAATAATCACTAAATAGGAAAAAAAGAAGGGATCCTTTTGGGGCAGGTGTTTGTCATAGCAGTTGGGATGCTTGCATCCCATATTGGAATTGCCTGCATTTGAATTCCACTTGTACTCCTGATTCCAGCTTCCTGCTAGTGCATACCCTGGGAGGTAGCAGGTGATGGCTGAAGTAACTGGGTCCCTGCCATGGATCTAAAAGATTCATACATTCATTTTCTCTCTTCTCTCTCTCTCTCTCTCCCTTTCAAATAAGAATTTTTTTAAAAAAAATATTTTAGCATAGGATTTTCAGTTATAAGCACATTAAAAATTTGTTATTTCTTCTCATGTGTATTATGCATTACTAAGAGTTGATTTTGACATGCCTGAATTTATTCAGCAACAAAGAAACTGCTGTATACAAATGTAACTCTTTTACATTTAATGCCTTTTCTATTCTGTGATTCCCAAAGTGTCATATGGAAAGTATGTTTTGGAAATTATTTGATCTGTTCTCTCTTTCAGCATAATATTTATCATTTGTGTTACTTGTTTCATAAATCTGTCAGCATGGTTAATCTTTTAAGTGCTTTTGCTTTGAGGACCACAGAATCTAAATGATACGTTTTTTTGTTTTGAATCTCCTGAACTATTTATTTATTATTTTTTTCTTTTTTTTTTACCCCAAAGAAACCATTTATTTAATGAGTACAAAATTCACACATACAACTTTAGGAATATAGTGATTCTCATCCTACCCACCCTTCCACCCAACCTCCTCCTCCTTCTCCCATTCCCAGTCCCACTCTCCATTAAAAAAAAATTGTTCCTTGATAGTCAAGACAAGGGCTGTTCAAGTCATTGCTTCTCAAAGTATCAATTTCACTTCTACAGATTTCCTTTTAGGTGCTTTATTAGTTATCACAGATAAGGGAAAACTGATGGTATTTGTCCCTTTGGGACTGGCTTATTTCACTATGTATAATGTTTTCCAGATTCATCCATTTTGTTGCAAATGACTGGATTTAATTTTTTTTTTTTACTGCTGTGTAGTATTGCATAGAGTACATATCCCATAATTTCTTTATCTAGTCTTCAGTTGATGGGCATTTAGGTTGATTCCATGTCTTAGCTATTGTAAATTGAGCTACAATAAACATGGCAGTGTAGATAACTCTTTTCTTTGCTTATTCATTTCCCTTGGGTAAATTCCCAGGAATGGGATGGCTGGGTCATATGGTAGGTATATATTCAGATTTCTGAGATATCTCCAAACTGATTTCCATGGTGGTTTTACCAGTTTACATTCCCACTAACAGGATTAGAAGGCCTGTTTAGTGAAATAATAACAGAAAATTTCCCCAATTTGGAGAAAGAAAGGGGCATCCAAATACAGGAAGCACAGAGAACTCCTAATAGACAGGACCAGAAAAGATCTTCACCATGACACGTTGTAGTCAAACTCTCCACAGTAAAACATAAAGAAAAGATTCTAAAATGTGCACAAGAGAAACGCCAGATTACTTTTGGAGGATCTCCAATTAGACTCACAGCAGACTTCTCATCAGAAATCCTGCAGACTAGGAAAGAATGGCGAGATATAGTCCAAGTCTTAAGAAGAAAAAGCAGTCAACCCAGAATACTATACCATGCAAAGTTCTCATTTATGAACGAAGGTGAAATAAAGACCTTCCATGACAAACAGAAACAAAGAATTTGTCACCACCCGTCCTGCCCTGCGGAAGGTACTTAAGGATGTGCTGCACACAGAAGCACAGAAACACGGTCAGTACTGAAGAAGAAGATAAAGGAAGGAAAGCTCTCAATAAAAGTACAAAGGAAATAAAAAGTAAACAATCGGAATAGTTATGAAAAATGGCAGGGCAAAGTTGTTACTTATCAAGTCACTTTGAATGTAAATGGCCTTAACTAAGACACAGACTGGCTGAATGGAATAAAAAACAAAACCCATCTATTTGCTGCCTACAAGAAACACATCTCACCTTTATTGTTTTTATCTCTTCTCTTTTAGAAACAAATATTTTCAAATTTCATAAAATAAAGCAGTATGTACTTGTATTAGAAAAATTCTGTTGGTGTATCAAAGAGGTTTTTATGCTTTGTTTGAAGTTTTTCTGGCTTCCTGTCATTATTTGATAAAGTTTGAAAGTTGATAATGTGCAGAAGTATGTAGAATGAATGAATGATCGGTCTAAAAAAAGAGAGAGAAATCAGCTTTTAGATAGTTGCTGTTATATGTCCTCATAACATTTTTGTTTTTACACATTTATATGGGATTATTATGCCTACAGGTTTATATTCTGTTTGCATTAGAGTTCTGTTCCTGATTTAGCTTTAACATTCATTTTGAGTTACTTGTTACTATTTTTATCATTACCTTAGGCTTTAGAAAACCTATGATCCACTTATTTTTATTGGTGATATAATATAATATAATTCAAATAATACAAATTAAATAGATACATGTAAACAATAACATTGAAATGGCATTTTAGCTAATGTGATTTGTAGTCTTATAGAATAATGTAGGCCTTAGGGCACGTGCCCAGCTTAATTTTGAGAATATAGTTATTAAGGGCTGCCACTGTGGCATAACAGGTAAAGCTGCCACCTGTAGTGCCGACATCCCATATGGATGCTGGTTCCAGTACCTGCTGCCTGACTTCTGATCCAGCTCTCTGCTTTGGCCTGAGAAAGCAGTGGTGGATGACCCAAGTGCTTGGGCCCCCTGCAGCTGCGTGGGAGACCCGGTGGAGGTTCTTGGCTCTTGGCTTCCATTTGGCTCAGCTCTGGCTGTTACAGCCATTTTGAGGGAGAACCAGTGGATTGAGGATCTCTGTTTTTCTCTCTGTTTCTGCCTCTGCTTCTTTGTAACTCTGACTTTCAAATAAATAAATCTTAAAATATATATATATAGAGAGAGAAGCCAGCGCCGTGGCGCAGTGAGTTAAAGTCCCAGACTGCAGCGCCAGCATCCCAAATGGGCACCGGTTCAAGTCCTGGCTGCTCCACTTCTGATCCAGCTCTCTGCTATGGCCTGGAAATGCAGTAGAAGATGGCCCAACTCCTTGGATCCCTGCACCTGTGTGGGAAACCCAGAAGAAGCTCCTGGCTCCTGGCTTCCGATCAGCTTAGCTCTGGTCGTTGCAGTCATCTGGGGAGTGAAACAGCAGATGGAAGACCTCTTTCTCTCTCTGGCTCTACCTCTCTCTACCCCTTCCTTCCTTCCTTCCTTCCTTCCTTCCTTCCTTCCTTCCTTCCTTCCTTCCTTCCTTCCTTTCTTTTGTTAAAGATTTTTATTTATTATTTATTTGAAAGTCAAAGTTACACAGAGAGAGGAGAGGCAGAGACAGAGAGAGAGGTCTTCTATCCAATGGTTCACTCTCAATTGGCTGCAATGGCCAGAGCTGCACTGATCCGAAGCCAGGAGCTTGTTCTGGGTCTCCAACGCGGGCACAGGGGCCCAAGGACCTGGGCCATTATCCACTGCTTTCCCAGGCCATAGCAGAGAGCTGGAATGGAAGTGGAGCAGCCGGGCACAGAAGTGCTTTACTGGTAAGGAAATAATTTCATCCCTTAACACTGGTTTTAAAAATGATGAAGATGGACCTTTGAAGACAAGGGAGAGAGGGGAACAATATCTGAAGATGCATGGATTTTTTTCATATTTTTTATGACTGGATGTGATTTTGGTTTTATATTCCTTTTTGTGGTAATAAGTATTTGAAAAATTAATATACCATATTTTAGTGAATTATCTGATTATTCTTTATTTTTGAATTTCATTTACAGATTAACTAAAATGTTTTGTCTAGAGATTATTTTTATTCTCACCTTCCCAATTCCTCTCCCAAATTTTAAATTAGTTCAGATATCTGCAATTGAAATGCTACATTTTATCTTTATGTTTGTTTAATTCTATTGTGTAATCAACTGAATTTCTTTTTCCAGATGATTCTTTGGGATTGGGACTTAAAGCAGTGGTGTAAACCTCATTATCAGGTAAATATGAGTTTTTATATATATTCCATTATTGCTGATATAATAATTAATATCTTTAATGAAACTTTGACATTTAAAGTTGTATCACAAGATTTCTGTGCTGTAAGATTTTTCTTTTACTTTTACTGAAATAAGTTAGCCAGAGCATTCAAGAGCTAGGTTTTAAAAAATGTCTTTTAATTTTAAGGAAAAAGAAAATTATATGAAACCAAACAATAAAATACATTTTTTTTTGGAAATACTGCAAATGTAATTTGAGTTCAGAATAGACTAATATTTCTGTTTTAAGGAAGTGGGTTTTTTTTTTTTCCTTTTCTGATGTGGTCCAGTGATCACAGAGGCAGAAAAATAGATTGAAGAATATGTAAGACAGAGCAAAGCAATTGGCAAGACGTTCTATATAGGAAGTAACTCTTTTATTGCTATTTTACTCCTTTATTTTTTTGAAGTAACACATTTTTAATTTACATCATAATCAAAGGTTCCAATAAATAAAGAGTCCAATACATTAGAAGTAAAAAAGACCATAGTTCATCAGAAGAATAGGCAAAGCCTATGAACAATCATCAGATGAAAATTTATTTAACTCAGTCATATGAAGTAAATTTTAAAATAGTTACAAAATCATTCAAGCTGTAATAGTATATAATTCTTAATTATCTGACAAAGATTTAAAATAAAGTTTGACAAAACACTGTATTTGCAGCATAACACACAGGCATTTCTTTTTTTCTGTTGTTTTGATTTTTTTAAATTTTAGCTCCCACATATAACGGAGAACATATGGTATTTTCTTTCTGTGTCCAGCTTATTTCACTCAACATGATAGGCTCCAGTTGTAACCATTTTGATGTAATTCACAGAATTTCATTCTTTTATAGCTGAATAATATTCCATTGTGTATATATCTTTTCTTTATCAGTTCTTCTGAAGAAGGATATGTTTTATATGTTGTTTTGAAACCTGATTTTTTTGCAATAATGGGTGAACATTAATAAATATTATATCATTTATAGTCCAAAAATGTTATCTCTATTTATTAGATTTATTTAGCTCATTTTCCCAATAGCAGTTTTTGCTAAGTGAATATCCAGCTGAATTGCTGATTTATTTTCTCTTAAACTGTGAATAGAGTAGTCATAACAGGCCAAATTTGGACTTGGTGTGAGCTAAATAATATAACTTGCTGTCAGATGAAGTCAAGGAGAAGGCCACATCTTACCTAAATGAAGATGGTTCCATAACCTACATGGTGAACTTTATCATCATTCATGTTCCCCAACTCAGCAAATATCTAAACTAATGGTAAAATCTAAAGATAAATACTCAGTAATTGCCTAGAGTGTGGTAGACTTGTTGTCAGACTGATGTATAATATTAAGTACTTGTATCTTTTTTCTGACTTTTACCTTTTCTCCCTCTTTGCATTCCAAAACCTCTTTTTAAGAATTGAAATCTAACATTTGTATGTAAAAGTACTTAGCTTATAAGTATACAGCTTGATTAACTTGATGAGTTTTCTTAAACTGAATCCACATATGTGACCATCATTGAGAAGTAGAATTCAGCACCCCAGAAATCCTCTAATATTCCCCTCTAGCTGTCACTGTCTCTCATGTGTTATCTCAATGCTGATTTCTGCCATTACTACTTTTTCTTGTCTTTAAATTCTATGTAAGTGGACCACCTTACACATATTTTCTCTTTTGCTTTTCTTTTCAAAATTTTATCAGCAATTAATAAATGCACAAAGCAGCAATTCATTCATTTTCATTTTATTTAGTATTCCATTAATTAATGTCTATCTTGTAATAAATGGACATTTATTATACTTTAAAATTTTTGACTATTGCAAATCATGCTGCTGGAACAACATTGATGTCTTTTGTTGGGTATGTATGTTGGAAAAATTGCTAGGATGTGTTACCTTTAGAAGATAGAGCTGGACGACTTTCCAAAGCACTTGTTAATGTTTACCTGTATCCTCACCAACATTGGTGCTGTCCTCTCTAAATCATCCTGATAGATGTTAACTGTCTTGTGGCTTAAATATCTGCATTTCACTGGTGTTTCATGTGGTTGAAGGCCTTTCGTATGTCAGTTGGCTACACAGATATCTTCTCAGGTTTGCTGTTTGCTGACTGTTAGCAATCAGTATGAGTTTTTTGTGTATTTTGGACACAAATATATGAATATATACAGATACATATATGTGTTATATATATTGTACTTATCTAATGTATGTTGAAAAATTTTATCTCACTGGCTTAAAATGGTGTTTATACATGAAAATAGTAAATATTTTAATTCAGTGCTAGTCTACCAATAATTTCCTTTTGGTTAGTGATTTTTTTGTGTGTGTATTCCTAAAGAAATATCTGCTCTGAGGTCATGAAGATTTTCTTCTAGGTTATATCCTAGAGGTTTTATTTATTTTTTAAATATTATTTATTGGGGCTGGCACTGTGGCATAGCAGGTAAAGCCACTGCCTGTGGCACTGGCATCCCTGGGCACCAGTTTGAGTCCCAGCTGCTCTACTCTGAACCAGCTCTCTGCTATGGCCTGGGAAAGCAGTACAAGATGGCCCAAGTTCTTGAGTCCCTGCACCTGTGTAGGAGACCCGGAAGAAGTTCCTGGCTCCTTGCTTCAGATTGGCACAGCTCCAGCCATTGCAGCCAATTGAGGAGTGAACCAGTGGATGGAATCTCTTTTTCTCTCACTCTCTCTCACTCTCTCTTCCTTCCTCCATCCTTCCCTCCCTCTTCTTCTCTCTCTCTGTAACTCTGACTTTCAAATAAATAAATAAATCTTCAAAAAATATATTATTAATTTATTTATTTAAAAGGCTGAGTGACAGAGAGAAAGACAGACAGAAACAGAGATATCCCATCTACTGGTTCATTTCTCAAATGGCCTCCACATCCAAGTCTGGGCCAGGCTGAAGCCAGGATTTAGAAATTCCAGTTGGGTCTCCTACATGGGTAATGGGAACCCAAAGACTTGAGCTTTTAATCTACTGCTTCCCAGGTGCACTAGAAGAGAGAGGGATTGGAAGTGGATTAGCCAGGACATGAACTGACACTCTGATATGGGATGTGAATGTCTCAAATGGCTGCTTAACTCACAGTTCTATAATGTGTCTGGAATTTATTGTTCAGTTTGAGTAGGATTGAAAATTGATATTAATTCTGTATCGTGTGGTACATAACCCTAGGTACATTTTTTTCCCAAACAGACATCCAATAGATCAATTCTCATTTGAAAGCTCTATTTTACTTTTAAATAGAAATAATTTGAGGAATTCTTTTAGGATTTCTTCATCTCTTGGATACTGATTATAAATTGGCAAACGTCTTCAATGGAAAAGCAGCTCTGAATTTAAGCTGGCTATTTTTTCCCATCTGTCTGAGATCTTACTTGGTCTTTCATGTCCCCTCCTTGTGTTCATAGCCTTAGTCTCGAAATTTGGTCTCCCAGCCTCTTGAGACTATAGTGTGCTTTACTCTGTTTCCTTATGCTCTTAAAAGCTCTGTTTCTCATCCTGTTTACCATGTAGGAGTTATGAATCAGCAGTAAGTTCCTTGAGAGGGGAAAAAGTAGTACAGAATGTTGGATTCCTTTTAGTCTTAGCTGAGTTCTTGTCCTCTCAAGCTCAGGCTGCTTGCTTGGTGTGCTATGTCTTAATGCATTTGCTTTTTGTATTTTATTTTAGCTTTTCAGAGTTGTTCCAGGTACAAGAGTTGGTCTAACACAAATTAATCTCTCTTTGCTGGAAAGTTAGGCAAGTCTCTATGTCTCTCTGAACCTCATCTATAAATTGAAAATATTAGCAGTTCTTCAGAGGGCCAATTAAACTAATAACATGTGCCTGACACATAGTATCACTGAATGAAAATGTGAACTGATATTATCTTTAAATTATAAAACACTAATGAAAGGAATAGAAAACAAAAATGGAATGATCTCTAATGTTCATGAAATGCAAGCATTAATGTTAAAATGTCCATATCCAAATAAATTTTATTTTATTTATTTTTTTATTTTTTTGACAGGCAGACTTAGACAGTGAGAGAGAGACAGAGAGAAAGGTCTTGCTTTTCCGTTGGTTCACCCCTCAAAGGGATGCTATGGCTGGCATGCTGTGGCTGCGCCAATCCAAAGCCAGGAGACAGGTACTTCCTCCTGGTCTCCCATGTGGGTGCAGGGCCCAAGCACTTGGACCATCCTCCACTGCACTCCCAGGCCACAGCAGAGAGCTGGACTGGAAGAAGAACAACTGGGACAGAATCCAGAGCCCCAACCAGGACTAGAACCTGGGGTGCTGGCACCACAGGTGGAGGATTAGCCAAGTGAGCCACGGCGCTGGCCACCCAAAGCAATTTACAGATTCACTGCAGTCCCCTTCAAAATATGAATGACATTCTTCCATAAAACTAGAAAAAATAGTCTTAAAATTCTTATGGAAGCACAAAAGATCTTAAATAGCCAAAATTGTGTTTAACAAGAAGAACAAAGCTAGAAGCATCATAATACCAGATCTTAAGACATACTACAGAGCTGTTGTGATCAAAACAGCATGGTACTAGAATAAAAAGACATATGGAATAATGGAACAGAATAGAGATCCCAGCAATGATTCCACATGTGTATAGCCTACTGGACTTTGACAAAGGTGCCAGCAACACATACCAGAGAAAGAACAGTCTCTTCAATAAATGTTGTTGGGAAAACCAGATATTCATAAGCAGAAGATTGAACCAGGATCCCTAACTGTTATCCTATACAAAAATCAACTCAAAATAGATTAAATATCTAAATGTAAGATGTGAAACTACTTAACTATTAATAGAAAACATAACACTTTAAAATATTTGCATAGGCAGTGATTTTTTTGGATAAGACCCTGAAAACACAGATAAGAAAAATGAAACCAGACCAATGCGAATATACCAAATCAAGAAGCTTTTGCACAGTAAAAGGATCTATTAGCAGAACTAAGAGACAGCTGACATAATGGGAGAAAACATTTAGTAGTTATTCATCTGACAAAGGATATAAGTATAAAACAAACTCAAAAAACTCAATAATAAACAAGCAATACAGTTAAACAGTCCAAGCATCCGGATAGATATTTTTTCAGAAGATAAAATACAAATGGTAATGAATTCTTTTTTGTTTTTTAAGATTGGTTTATTTATTTAAAAGGTAGAGTTACAGAGAGGCAGGGGTGGGGAGAGGGAGAGAGGTCTTCCATCTGTTGGTTCACTCCCCAGATGTCCGCAACGACTGGAGCTGCGCTGATCTGAAGCCAGGAGCCAGGAGCTTCTTCCAGGTCTCCCACACAGGTGCAGGGGCCCAGGAACTTGGGCCATCTTGTACTACTTTCCCAGGCCATAGCAGAGAGCTGGATCAGAAGTGGAGCAGCCAGGTCTTGAACCAGCACCCATATGGGATGCTGACGCTGCAGGTGGCAGCTCTACCACTTCACCACAGCGCCAACCCCATGAAAAACATTTTAAAATTCCCAGAAATGGGCATTTAGACTCTTAGTTGAGATGCCTATGTTGCAAATTGGAGTTGCCTGGGTTTGATTCCCAGCTCTGGTTCCTGACATCAGCTTCCTGCTAGTGCAGACCATGGGAGGCACCAGCAATGGCTCAAATGATTGGGTTTCTGCCACCCTCATGGGAGACCTGGACTGTGTTCCTAGCTCCTGACCCAGTCCTGGCCATTGTGGGCATTTGAGGAGCAAACCAGCAGATGGGTACTTTCTGTCTCTGTTTTCTCTTTCTTTTTCTCTAATACAATTTAAAAAGAAGTGCTCAATAGCACTAGCCATCAGGGAAGTGAGTCAAAACCACAATGAATTATTATGTCATTCTACTTAGAATGGTTATTATTCAATAGAAAAACATTACAAGCTGGTAAGTATTTGGAGAAAAGGGGGTCCTTATGTTGTTAATGGGAATGGAAAGTTCTTCTGCCATTATGGAGAACAGTATGGAAATCATTCAGAGAACTAAAAATGGATCTACCATAGGACTTTGCTGTCCCGCTTCTGAGAATATGTATGTATATTATCTCCAAAGGAAATTAAATCAGCATATAAATCCAAAGGAAGTTAAATAATAGAGACACTAGCCCTCTCAAGTTCTTTGCAACACTATCGACAATAGTCAAGACATGGAATCAATCAATAGATGTCCATTCATTGATGAATGGATAAAGAAAATGTGATATATATATATACACAACGGAATACTATGCAACCATAAAAGAATGAAATCCTGGCATTTACAATGAAATGGATGGAACTGGCAGTCATTATTGCTAAATGGAATAAGCAGGCACAGAAAGAAAAATACTGCATGTTTTGTGTCATGTGGAAGTTAAAAACAGTCAATCTGAATTTAAAATAGTGATTACTAAACCTTTGGGAGGATTGGGAAATGAGGGAAAGAGGGAGGTTGGATAATTGATATCAAAGCATAGTTATTTTTAATTAAATATTTATTTATTCAAAAGACAGAATTACAGAAGAGGGGGTAGAGACAGAGAAATCTTCTATCTATTGGGCCAGGCTGAAGCCAGGAGCCTGGTACTCCATCCAGGCCTCCCACCTTGGGGACAGGGGCCCATGTTCCACTGCTCTCCCAGCCATAATGGAGGGGAAGTGGATAGGAAATGGAGCACGTAGGACTCAAACTAGCACCCATATGGGAAGCCAGCATTGTAGGGGTGGCTTAATCTGCTACACCACAATGCCATCCTGAAACAAAACACAGTTAGATAGAAATAATAGGTTCTCCTGTTCTGTAGCACTGAAACTATAATTCAGTATATAAAGAATTTGGAGGGGCTGGCGCTGTGGCACAGCGGGTTAACACCCTGGCCTGAAGCGCCGGCATCCCATATGGGTGCTAACTTAAAAGTGGTGAAATTTTGATGCCAGTAGACTGAAAAAATCACAGAATTATGTTATATTACCAAGAGCAGCCACTAGAGAAACTGTATAAAGTATTACAGTAAAAAAATTTCTGTGAGTCAATCATAATATAATTTTAAAAAAAGTTCTAGTAATTTTGCCCCCAAGAAAGCAAGAAGAAAGAAACAAAGGACAAGAAAAAGAAGAAATACCAAAATGGAAAACTTAAGGCATTAAAAAAGTTACAATATGAGAAAAAGAGAAATTGACCATGAAAAAGGATTTGTCTATGAAAATGAATTAGGCATTCATGTTGTCAGAAGTATTTAATAGTGAATTTTAATTACATTGTACTGTTAAAGTGAAAATCACAATGTACTGTTTTGGTAAATTTGTGAATTGTCCTTTCCTATTTGTCCTGAATAATGTTTAGAAAATAATGCTTTTGAAAAAATCTTCTATTTTCATACATGTTCCATTTGAATTTTGTAGTAGTTAAATGAGATTATAAATAGACAAAGTCTATGGAAATATGGCAGGGAACATTGAGAATTACAGTAATCAGAGAATTCTGGTTGAAGCAGCAATGAGATTATTTTTTTTTTTTTTGCCTATGAGATAGGTAGAGATTAATTAAATTCATGCTATCCAATTATAATTAGGGCTGTAGGGTAAAAAGTGCCATTATATACAATTAGTGGGTGGGGTAGACTTGATCAGCATATTCCAGAGAAGGTTTTAGAACAGTGATCAAATTTTAATATGCTCATTTGCTTTGGTTCAGGAATTCAAGTTATAGGAACCTGTTTATCAGAAGTATGCTTACTTGTTCACAGTGATATATATAGAGAAGTGTTATTTTAATGCTATTTATAACAGATAAAGGCTGGAAATAACTAGGCTATGTCGTGATAACGGGGAATGTTTAAAATCCAGACTTTGTGTTCCACAAAGATCAAAGATGTTATTAAAGTATTTTAGCCTTTCGTAACATTTCTCAATACTGAAATGTGTTGCAGGTACTTTAAGTTTCCTGGTGAACAAAAAGTTTGAATAATTATCAGTTTCAGACATACCCAAATATAAGTTCAAGAAACAATAAAATTACAAAAAGTAACATTTAGTTCACTGTTTTCATTATTGGTCCATTTGTTTCTATGAATAATTGAGTTTAATATCGTATATATGTATTGTCAAAAAGTTGAAATTATATCTTATGTATATATCAGTGTCATAATTCATCTTTTGAATTAAAAAAATTTTTCCTACCAAATTTTTATGGCTTAGCCTAATGCTACCTTTTGACGTTTATATTGACCATTCATCTTAAAGTTGTTGCTGTCACTTTTGAACTTTGATTCCAATTTTCTGTTTTTATGTCATCATTTCCATAATATTAATAATAATAATGTTTATTGCACTTTAAGTACATGTACTAAAGAGTGTTCTGTGTACTTCACATATATTATCAGATTTATTTCTTTTGTCAGCCCTTAATTAGATGGATATTATCCTCATCTAACATTGAATAAATTTTAAAATGTTCAGATTGAAATAAATTACTCAAGGTCACAAAGTTAGGTTTTAATTCCAGATTATAAACTGGGCAGTCTTTGAAACAAAGCCTTGCTGATATGTTAGACTGCTTTTTTAGTGAACAAGGTAAATGAAAAAATGCTCTTTATGTTTAGAAGAAAGTTTGACGTAAACGAATGGACAGGCTCAATAAACTAGTGAAATATACAAATTACAGATTTTAAATTTAATAGACTTAGTTCTGTACTAATTACAGTGGGCCAGTAATGAATATCATTAAATGTAATGAATAAGCTAATGAAAAATAAATAAAAAATTAAAGTGTATCATAGTGAAAAAAATTTTCAACTTAGAATTATACCATTTGTTATATAATTTATGCCATGTCCAAATAAACGAAAATTTAAATTTAAAGGAATAAATTACTTAGATAATATTAGATAGACTTTATTTAAAGAAAATATTTCTTAAATGTTAATTTTTCTGTGAAACAAATATATAATTTTGCTTTTCTTCTTTTCTAGAATTCTGGAGGAGGAAATGGAGTTGATCTTTCAGTGCTGAATGAGGCTCGCAATATGGTGTCAGATCTTCTAATTGATCCAAGCCTTCCCCCACAAGTCATTTCTTCCTTACGGAGCATCAGTAGCTTGATGGGTGCTTTCTCAGGTTCCTGTAGGCCAAAGATTAATCCTCTCACACCATTTCCTGGATTTTACCCCTGCTCAGAAATAGAGGACCCAGCTGAGAAAGGAGATCGAAAACTTCACAAGGTCAAAATCAGTACTCAGTTATCAGCCAGCCCTATTTTTATAAATAATATTGTTTTTAAATTAAAACTGTCCCTTTAAATATTATATAAAATGCAGTTACCTCTTCAAGGACCAGCTCCTTTTACATTATACTGAGCTGCTAGGGACTTTAGAGGCAGTTATAAACTCAAATAATTCTAGATGTGTGTTCAGTTTCTACTTTGATATTACTATAATTATAACTTGAATGGTAACAATCATTTATTATCATTGTTATTGTTAGGAAAAGGAAGAAAAAAGCAAATATAGTTCCAGGTTTATACAAAAAAATAGTATTCAGGTCATGTCATTAATCTATTTTATTCTTTAGAATCCAGGATTTGTTCTTGAACCAAGAAATGAAGAAATCTTCATTGTAATATTCAGTTTATGAATTACACAGCTTTATTTCAAATGATTTTCCCATTTCTGAACCCTGTTTTTCCCCCTGTACCTAGTGGCAATTACCATAGCCCAATAAGCATTGATTTTTCTATCAGATGTGGGATTAATTTCTCTCTAAATACCAATATTTCAAACAGAATTTCCTTTAGGATATAACAAATACTGTTCTACTGGACAGGCATACTTATACATAATGCTTGTTCAGAGTGCTTTTAGTTGTTTTGTTTGATTTATTATCAATAATGAAAATCATCAAACTTTGAAACAAGAAACAGTTTAGGGATTACTCTAATTCAACTAATTTATTCCACAACTAGGAAACTGACCAAGAGAGAAGATGAAATTCAAATATGTTAATTTTGTTAATTGTAATAGTCTATGTAGAACTTTAAAAAAAGGAAATATGAGAAAAACTTAACTGTAGTTTTTGAAGGGATTTTTATCATCAATTAATTTTATTTTTCCAGATCTCAGCATTAGGTTTTAGAAACGTTGAAACATTTTGCAGGCTTAATTAGGGTAAAAGGATTTGAACATTATTGATCACAATCTGTGTCATAGATACTTATGTGAGGCTTTTATTGTTATTTTAATTTTTATCAGAAAGGCACAGAGAGAGAGAGAGAGAGAGAGAGAGAGAGAGGTAAAGATGTGGAGAGATCTTCCCTTTACTGGTTCTCTCCCCAAAATTCTGAAGCAGTTGGGTCTGGGATAGGTTGAAGTCAGGAGTGCAAAATTCCACCTGGGTCTCCCATGTGGATGGCAGGGACCTAATACTTGAGCCATCATCTGCTGCCTCCTAGAGTATGCATTTGTTAGAAGGTGGATCAGAAGCAGAGTAGCCAGACACTCCTGTATGGATGCAGGTGTCCCAAGCAGCGGGTTAACTGCTGCTCTAAAATGCCTGTACCTGAAGCTTTTATTTTCAAAAAGCTTTTACAGTAGCACCTGCATTAGTAAAGACCCAGTTAACAAGAGTGCTTAGTCATGTGACTTTAGAACTCTGCTCTCTAAGAAAACTTCCAAAGAGGATAACAGTCATCAATAAAATAATACATTCGAAAATTTTTTTTCAAAGATTTATTTTATTTATTTGAAAGAGTTACAGAGGCAGAGATTGGAGAGGGAGAAGAAAGGGAGATAGATAGTGTGAAAGAGATTTTCCATCTACTGGTTCATTCCACAAATGGCCAAATGGCCACACAGCCAGGGCTGGGCCAGGCTGAAGCCAGGAGCCAAGAGCTTCATCCGGGTTTCCCATGTGGGTACAGGGGCCTAAGTACTTGGGCCATCTTCCACTGCTTTCCTAGGCACATTAACAGGGAGCTAGATTGGAAGTGGGGCACCTGGGACTTGAACTGGCACCCATTTGGGATGCTGGTGTCTCGGGAGGCAGCTTAACCTGCCATGTCACAATGCCAGCCCCCTTATATTATATTATTGAATTCATTTACACCTTTATGTTTCATTTGTTTCTGCCTATTATAGTAATTTTTTAAAAAAATAATTCTTAAAATTGTAATCATAAAAATCATACTGATCTCAGTATAATGTTTGTTATTGTGTTTGCTACATAGGAAAATTTGGGGCCAGAACTGTGGCTCAACAGGTTAAACAGCTACTTGGAATGCTGGCACCCCGTGTCGGAGTGCCAGTTCACGTCCCAGCTACTCAGCTTCTGATCCAGCTTCCTGTGAATTGTCTACAAAGGCAATGAAAGTGCCCAACTACTTGGGCCTCTGCCATCCATATAGGAAACCTGAGTGGAGTTCCTGGCTCCTAACTTTGGCATGGCCCAGAATTTGCTGTTGTGTACATTTGGGCAGTGAAAAGATGAAGATATTGCTCTCCCTCTCTCTTTCAAATAGATTAATTAATAAATAAATAAATCTATAAAATAAAAAAATTTGGTACACTTTAAAATATTTTAAACATAATATTACTTAGATAGAAGGTCTGAATACTTCATTTCCTGAGCATTGCAGTATCAGGCTAATTTTGGATGCTGTAATCATGTAATACTGACATGAGTAGCTCATATAAAGACCTGGAAGCAATCCTTATGAAAAAAACCTTCATTTACTTTGTGTTGTATAAACTCCTTGGGAAAATTCCATATCTGTCCCTTCTTATAGAAAAGCATACTAAAATCCTGATGTTACTTCAGAAAAGATCAACAACATTTATGAAAAAAAGCCCAGTAAGGAAAAAGGGAGTAAGAACATACCATATGATGTAAATATCTTATAGATATGTTAAAAACTAAGAAGGATTATAACAACCTACATTATAATCAGCCAGGATTATGCTACATAAGGAATTTTTTCACTGAATTTCCAAGTAATCATAGTTAACCCTAGATCTGAACAAAATCAGTATCCTTGGGAAAGCTTAAGTTAAATATAGTATTTCTCTAAGATTGTTGTAGTGTCTGGTGATAGGGAAAATTCATAAGAAACAGAAACTGGGCTATATAGATCTCAGTAAAACTACACTCACAATGGTAAAAATGGGATATTTTCATCAATTGAACATTTGGATTGAGAATATTTTCAAAATTAGTGTAAAATATCAATGCAAAAAGTATTCTCTGTTTAATTTTATCATTATTTCAAATGGTAACTCAGGATCCTGAAGTTTCTCCAGTTTCACCACTCTGTACATTAGCCAGCATTGTACTGAAAATATAAAATAATATATTGACTGATCATCTCTGATCTTAAGCTTGACTTCTGATGTTAATTTTCAGAATCTATCTACATATTTATATTTAAATTTCCAATTCTTTATTTTTAATGGAAGTTAAAGTATAATATGCAAAAGAAAAATACTAGTTTAAATTCTATCAAGTTCAGCAATCACTTTTTAGTAGGAAGAAAATACATTGAACAGCAGCTATAATGTGAAATTTGTAGTAAATCGGCAGGTTTTCAGAATGAAATGCCTCGTTTCTTCTTTATATGTTAAGAATATAGTTTCTATTGTTAGTCATGTACTATCATTAATATTACATGTACAACATATTAAAAGCTGAAAATTTTAACCATTGTTGAATTATTCAACAGGGATTGAATAATAGGAACAGTTTACCAACTCCACAGCTGAGGAGGAGCTCAGGAACTTCAGGACTGCAACCTATTGATCAGTCTTCAAGGTGGGAACGCAATAATGGCAGAAGGCCTAACCAGGAATTTGGCACTTCAAGGTAAAATCCCCGGAGCCATTAAATGAAACATTCTAATGCACCCACTTTGTTTCCGTGAATAATTTGTGGAATAATTCAAAATGTAAAAGGCAATTCTTGAAGTATTTTAGGTGAATTACAATATGGGTAGTAATAATATGGTGTAATAGAGAAGCTGACTCTTGGAAACCTCCCTCAGAATCTAGGTGGATTGGGTACACAGCAAGCGGGAGCCTTAGGAATGTGAGCTAGTGAAATGGTTCAGGGAAATTGGGATCCATTTAATACAGAGTATTGTGAAAGCTTTTACATTTCTAAAGGTTACCATTATAGGAGTAGTCACCAATTCAATGTGTAATATCCAAAGTCAGCAGTTACTGACTTGTGAAAGGAAGAACAAGTTCCCAGGGCTCATTACAGTTGTTAGGTCTAAGGTGGCAAAACTTTTTAAACTCTGTCCTACTAGAGGCTGAGACTACCAGTATATTCTATAATATATTGAGAATTTACACGGAACTGAACAGAGCTAATCCTATAAATGAAAGACATAAGTTAACTACAAGTAAATGAGTCTGGGACAATGCAGGAACTGAAATCTTCTGAATGTCAATACAAATAAAGGGTCTTCAGAAGTTCATGGAAAATATTTATTATTAAAAAAACTATGCATGGGTTTTTTTTTTTTTTTAAAGATTTATTCTATTTATTTGAAAGACAGAGTTACAGAGAGACGTAGAGACAAGAGAGAAAGGTCTTCCATCCTCTGGTTCACTCCCCAGATGGCTGCAATGGCTGGAGCTGCGCCGATCTGAAGCCAGGAGCCAAGAGCTTCCTCCGAGGCTCCCATGTGGGTGCAGGGGCCCAAGGACTTGGGCTGTCTTCTACTGCTTTCCCAGGCCAAAGCAGAGAGCTGGATCGGAAGTGGAGCAGCTGGGACTAGAACCAGTGCCCATATGGGATGCCGGAGCTTCAGGCCAGGGCGTTAACCTGCTGTGCTACAGCACCAGCCCCCCAATGCATGGATTTCAAAAAAATTTTTGTAGCAAAGTAAATTATCTTTTTTAACTTTTATTTAATAAATATAAATTTCTAAAGTACAGCTTTTAGATTATAGTGGCTTTTTTTTTTTTTTTGACAGGCAGAGTGGACAGTGAGAGAGAGAGACAGAGAGAAAGGTCTTCCTTTTGCCATTGTACAGTGGCTTTTTCCCCCCATAACCTCCCTCCCACCCGCAACCCTCCCATCTCCCGCGCCCTCTCCCATTCCATTCACATCAAGATGCATTTTCAATTATCTTTGTATACAGAAGATCAATTTAGTATATACTAAGTAAATATTTCAACAGTTTGCACCTACACAGAAATACAAAGTGTAAAGTAGTTTGAGTACTAGTTATACCATTAATTCACATAGCACAACACATTAAGGACAGAGATCTTACATGGGGAGTAAGTGCACAGTGACTCCTGTTGTTGATTTAACAATTGACACTCTTGTTTATGGAGTCAGTAATCACCCGAGGCTCTTGTCATGAGTTGCCAAGGCTATGGAAACCTTTTGAGTTCATCAGCTCTGATTTTATTTAGACACAGTCATAGTCAAAGTGGAAGTAAATTATCTTTTAATTCCATTTTCCATGAATTTTTTGAAATATCCTTGTAATCCTGGTAACAAAGAGTTTGTTACTTTGTATTTTGAAGCCAGGTACTGATCTCTTGTATGGGTTATAAGCTTCTCTTGAATTATCTATTTAATAAAATTAGAATTAGCATACATTCCACGTTTAATCATTCTATTACTAATGAGCATGTGTTGTACTTTTTTAGTTTGAGACGTTGTCTTTTTGCATTTGAAACAGTAGATGGCAGGATTGGATCATAGCTGTTTATTAAAATTTATGTTAACATGTATGAAATATAATCAGATGATTATGTTTTCCCAATTCTTATATGGCTTATTAATTTGAATTTTCTATAATATAATGGAATGGTAGACTTATTTTTTGTAAAAGAAAAATTGTATGAAATGATGTGTAGACTTATGTATGAAAAATGTTGTTAGGAAAATAAGCTTTGGTCCAAAGTTTACCTAGAGTATAAACATGATAGTCTTTTGTTTTGTTTTGTTTTAAATAGAAGCAGGATATAGGAAAGTGAAGTCAACAACCTAAAATGTGCCAGGTAGTTCTTAATCAAGGAACAATTATATTGAGGTTATCATTAGGTTTAAAAAAGGGATTGGCCGGCACTGTGGCTCACTAGGCTAATCCTCCACCTGTGGCGCCGGTAGCCCGGGTTGTAGTCCCGGTTGGGGCGCCGGATTCTGTCCCGGTTGCTCCTTCTTCCAGTCCAGCTCTCTACTGTGGCCTGGGAAGGCAGTGGAGGATGGCCCAAGTGCTTGGGCCCTGCACCCACATGGGAGACCAGGAGGAAGCACCTGGCTCCTGGCTTCGGATTGGCGCAGCGCGCCTGCCATAGCAGCCATCTGGGGGGTGAACCAACGGAATGAAGACCTTTCTCTCTGTCTCTCTCTCTTTCTCACTGTCTCTCTCTCTTTCTCACTGTCTAACTCTGCCTGTCAAAAAAAAAAAAAAAAAAAAAGATGAAGAAAATAATTCTGTTTTTTAATCTTTCACACTAATATAACAGCAATGTATTTGTAGTCAAAGAAACACTTGATATATGTTGGGTTAAGGTTAGATATGTACATTGAGATAAAGTATTTTTATCCGGCTACCTCTGGTGGTTGATGTTAAAATAGAAACATGGTCTGGAGAAAAATCAGGAACTGAGAAGTGTTCTCTCACAGGGGTGGGGGCTGTTTACTGCAAGGCTATATAAGGCCCAGGAAATCATTTGATCTGGCCTTTCTAAGGCAACCGTAGGCAAGACTCAAAATTCAGTAAATCTATAGCAGGCTAATTTTTCAGTTGATAATTTTTATAGCCTATGAAGTGTATTATAATTATCCAAATGGCCCTTGGCAGAAAAAAAGATTCCCCACCATGGTAAAAGTAGGCAAATTTTATATATTCAGTTAACTTTCATTAAAACAAAATCATATGACTCAAAAGATTTACATATTTGAAAAATAATTATGTATTATGTATATCTAATTTAAATTGACCATGTATGGAACCTTTTTAATATACAAACTAAAGAGTCTTTGAGTAATATTTATGAGTGTCTTTTAAACATAGACAGGGTAAGATAGGAATATATGAAGCATTCACAACCACTACTCCTTTTCAAGTTCAAGTCTATAGGTTGTTGCTGTCCAGTAGAAATTTCTGTGATGACGTGTTGTCCAAAGATGGTAGCCATAGCTGTATATGACTGTTGATCATTTGAAATGGGCCTAGTATGACTAAGGAACTAAATTTTAAATCTGAGTTCATTAATTATAATTAATTTAATTCAAATACAAGGAGCCTATGTAAATATCATATAGACCTATAAGGGTATTTCACACTCTTCATGGAAAATGGGATTGAAAGGTAAGGTTATTTTGCTGCAAAAATATTGAAATTCATGCATAGTTTTTTCATAATGCACACTTTAAGTGAATTTTTCTAAGATCCCTCATGTATAATATGTGGCATCTTATATTAGACAATAAAGGTCTTGATTTTAATGAATTATGGCATTTAATTCAGGAACCTTTAGACTTTGGTAGCCCAATTAATAGACTTGTGTTTCTGGAATCACCTTGAGTTTATATTAGAATAGCCCAGAACTAACAGCACATTTACTAGGTTTTTGAGCCTTGATTTGAACTCAGCTTTGGATTCTGATCCATTCCTTGCCTGATTTTAACTGACACTGTGATTTCAACATGATTCCAGTATTGAACTTCTCATTCTTGAAATCTATCTCTGAAGCCAGATTTCTCATCCTTTCAGCTGCTTTTTCATCTGTGGCTTTTTCCAGCCCTTAGACTGTTGCTGTCTTCTGGTCTAGCAGTTGCTTTCAGAATTGATTTACTTAGAAAAGTTGGTGTTACCTTTGTATCCTGTTACTTTATTTTACAGGTAATAGTTGTTAAGTTTACCTGTGCAGTATCTTTTCCTCTATTTATTCTTCTTGATAACTTTACTACAGTATTTCATGCTTTCATTATCACTTACTTGGGCTCTTGAACTAGCCTCTTAATTAGCTTTGCAACTTCCAGTATCCTTCCCCAATGAATTCTTCTTCTACCTTTCATTAGAAATCTTCCTTGAACAAAATCTTGATTATATCACGGTCTGTCAAACCATTTTGTGGAAAAAAAGAAGTTATTTTTGGTGCCTAAGTGTTTTGAAATCCATGCTATAGTTTTTTCATGCTACACATTTTCCATGAACTTTCTGAAGACTATTCACACCGTTTTTCTAGTCATTAAGTTTTTGAGTGCTTTACCAGTGTTTGTAGAATAGTACTCACGGGGAGAGAGAAACCAGTTATGATGTATTTGTCCCATATCACAATACCTGAGTTCCATACCCAGTCCTGACCTTGATTCTTGCTTCCTGCTAATGCACAGCCTGGGAAGCAGTAGTAATGGCTCAACCAGTTGGGTTCTTACCACTCATGTGGGAGACCTGAACTGAGTTCTTAACTCTGAGCTTCAGTCTGGCATAGCCCTAAAATATGTTGTAGACATTTGGGTAGTGAACCAGTAGGTGAGAGATTCCTTTCAGTCTGTCTTTGTCTTTCTCTCTCTCTCTCTCTTTGCCTCTCAAATAAATATATAAATAAATAAAAAGTAATGCTCAAATCCCTAGTCTGGATTTTAAATCCTGCTATTACCTCATGACAGAGTTGCACCTTTATTTAGAAAAATTAAATGAACTGACATAGGTGAGCAGTTTTTTAAATTTTATGTAAGTTATACAAGTTTCATGTATTTCATATATACAGATTTAGTAACATAGTGATACTTCCCTCCCTCCCACAACCTTTCTTCTCCTCCCTCTCCCATTCCCACTCTTAATTTTTGCAAAGATCTACTTTCAGTTTACTTAATGATTGTAAGGTTAA